GATCCAGCCTTTACTATACAAAGCAAGAGGCTTGTGTTGAACAGCTCCCAGAAGGGCTAATGCAGTGAATCCCGCTAGTCGTCTGCTCCCTCGCATCACAGCAGTCCTGTCTGCTCCCCGGAAATGCTTTCATGCGTTACTTACCTCTGTCAAAATAATTTCTCCAGTCAGTTTGTCTCTATCCAACTACTTGCTCCCTTGGAAAACTTAATGTTTTCTACCCAACTTCATGTTTTCAGGGAACTAAACTGACAATAGAGTGTATTTTTATTCCTTTCTAGGCTATTCTCTGAAAACGTGGGGAGGGTCAATAAAAATCATCTTGGGAATACCACCTTTCATACACACTGAGCTGATACTTAATCTCAGATTTTGAGTTTTCATTTAGTGTGAGATAAAGGTGCATTATCATTTTTCACTAAGTGAAATAAGGGTCCATTATTATAATGCCCCAGAGGTACATTATATTTAATTTAGAATTTTCTTTGAAATAGTCAGTGGAGCTTAAAAAGCCTTTCCTATTTATGTAAGTTGTGCTCCGACAGCGGCTGCCCTTGATCCTAACCCTGAAAAGGTACGAGAGCTGGACAGTTAGGGTGCAGTGCCCCCTGAAACGAGCCTGTGCCTTCTGCTGTTAGGCACTGTGGAGGCAAAATCAAACGAACAACAAAGGTAGAAATCTCACCAGCAGAAGTCAGTGTGCGGAAAATGGTTTTAAGAAACACTTTGGGTGCTCACTTCGGCAGCACATGTACTAAAAATTGGAACGATACAGAGAAGATTTGCACAAAGATGACACACAAATGCATGAAGCTTTCCATATTTTTATAAAGTATACTCAGGAATTGATAAACAATAAGGTACACCCAAAATCACACAATGTTATAAACCATTGTAAGCCCAATAAAATTATTTGGAAAAAACAAAAGGAGAAACACTTTGGCTGTTTGTCTTCTGCTTTTGGGACATCCATACTTGATGCCTGGTTTTTTTGTTATATTCGTTTTTGTTTCTTGAAATTTCTCTGAATTATACACACAAATTCTAGACAAGCATTTCTCTAGTTTGGATTAATTCTGCCTCTATATTCTAGCTCTTAACAGCTCTCTATTCTGAAGGAGGGCGAACGTTGGTTCTGAGAATGAATTATTTGTTGACTGGCTTATAAAACAGATGTCTGTGAGAAAAGGCTATGTGTTTGTACTTTTAAAGCAAGGGGCATGTCTGAGAATTTTCACAAAACTTTACATACACAGGGAAGAGTATTACAGAGCAACTCTTCTGGCTTTTGTTTTTGGTTCTCGAGCTCCTTTAAATGTTGAATCTCTCTGTGTCTTTGAGAGAAGACATAATCATTTCAGGATGACTTTCCTTTTACACTGTCTAAAAACCCACCTTTAAATTGAAATCTCCACATTTCCTATTAAAACTTTGTTTGATCCCATAACCATCAACAGTATTTCATATAGGGAAATGCAGAATCTATATAATCAAAGTTATGAAAATAGCATAGATGTAAAATACAGATAATCTGACTGTTACTTAAATTATTTTGCTAAGACCCTAAACTTTTTTCTCTTACCAGGCCTACTGGTATTCAAGATTAATGAGTGCTTTGTCCTTAATTTTCAGTAGATGGAAAGAAAAGGATGAAATTTGCCTGTAGGAGTTAACGAGGAGATGTGAAAGCTTAATTCTGTTTTTTAACATTGTAGTTGCTGTTCAGTATTCATTAATTTTCTCTTACCATTTATTTTGCCTAGAATATCTTTTAAAGAAGTAAACTGTTCAAACATGTCTTGTAGTTGATATCTTACTCCAAATTGACATATTATGTTGTTTCAATTCTGGATATTGAAGAGTAAATATTCATGGGATTTGAAGATTGGTTTACACTTGAATGATAACATTTTAAAACAAACTTTAATCCTTTAATACTTTTGGATCCTGTAATGTCTAGGATTTTAAATGGGCATATACTCTATGAAAGTGACCATTAGTTCTTGAATAAACAGTATTATAACATCATTTTCTGTTTAGCAGCACAAAAGATTCTGATATCCAAAATTTAACTTTATTTGCTGTTATAATATAGACTTCATGAAACCTCTGGACTCATAGGAAAACAAACTATCATCCTCACTTCCATCCCCAGATAGGAGTATCTCTATTCCTTTAGGTATGTTTTGATAAAGAAAGCAAAATTCAACTTCCATGGAGAATGGAAGATGGTGGGGGTAGAGATGAGTCTTTATCCGCTGGTTCTCTGTTCCTCTCCTCTGTACTCAGTTCCACTTCCTCCCAGTTGGCACCCTCCAGATGCCCCTCAGCCCGCTGCCCGTGTGGTGGCTTCCATCCTCCATCCCCAGAACACTCTGCTTCTGAGCCTTCTCTTCCTCTGAGTTCACTCACTGCTGCTCTCCCTTCTTCTGCACTGTTGTTTTGAACACATGCGATAGTTTAATTCGACATTTATTTCAGATTTCTGTATTTTACCCAGATCTGTTCTTAAGATTCAAATGCCATCCCTATTGCTGTCCCAACCTACCAGCAGTTCTCCTAGTTTTTTCAAAAAATCGCTATTGTGTTTAGTTTAGTTAAAAACATAAAAAGTTACCAAGAACATAGGAAGCATATTAAATTAAATAAGAATATTTGACGTTATATTGATATTAAATATAATTACTCTATAAATATCTCCCCTCAAAAAACTTCATTCAAAAGATTGACTAATTTCTATCTACTTGTAACTTAATGTATTTACTGTATAGAGCTGTTTAACAATTTTCGACCTATCCTGTGAAAGGTAGGTAGAAATCAGAATTTAGCCTGTTGCATCAGCAAAGAGCCATAGTGACTTTTTTTTCAAAATTTTAATGTCTTATTAAAATTATTTTCTTTATTGCAGGTTGATTAGAACACATGCATCTAATCCCTAACTTATATAACAATCTTTCTCTCTTTCTTTTTTTGGTGAGGAAGATTGGCTCTGAGCTAACATATGTTGCCAATCTTCCTCTTTTTTGTTTGAGGAAGATTGTCACTGAGCTAATATCTGTACCACTCTTTCTCTATTTTGTATGTGGGAGCTGCCACAGCGTGGCTTGATGAGCAGTGTGTGGGTCCACACCTGGGATCCGAACCTGTGAACACTGGGCTGCTGAAGCAGAGCACACAAACTTAACCACTATGCCACCGGGCCAGTGCCTAACGTAATCTTTCAAAGAACATTATTAATATATTTAATCAGAGCACTGGTACTATTCCATGTAGAAGTTTTTACTTTTGTTTAATCGTCATGTACTTTTTTAGAAATGTTATCACCTGTTTCTTCCCAGTGTGGGGCTAAGAAAGTGAATGGTAATTGATGCTTTGCAAGCCAAACATATTTCCCTATCCCTCAAATATTCCAAATTAAATAAAATTGATAAAGTTAGTATTATTAAAGTTGGTTGCTAGGTAAGCTAGGGCTAGGTAAGAACTAGGACATTTGTTCTCTAAATATTTTTGTTTAATAATGTTACAGGTAAAAAACAATGTGCAAGCATCTTCTCTGTATGGTAGTTCAATTAACAGGGCATGAAGAAAATTAGATATGAAGAAAAACACCTGAACTCAGTGTGTACTACCAAAAGCTAAAGGTCCAAGAACTCCCCATTCAAAACACAAGATAGAGTGGAGAATTATCACAGCTCTCAAGCAGAGATAAAATACCAATATCCAGGAAAGGAGTACTAAAATAGAATTTAACGTTGGTGAATGTTATAACAGCTACGATTAAGTTTGACTATATGTGACAGAGAAGCCCAAAATAATGGTGACTTCAACAGGCTGGAGGTTTATTTTTCTCTCAGAGTAGCTTCCAGTGTCCTCAGGGACCCAGCCAGTCTTTCTCCCGTCCTTAGCGATGGCTTCCGTGTCAGGGTCAGCCACTGCCCCCTGTGGCTCTCACTCCACTCACCCCCTTGCTCTGCGCTCTTGGAGCCGAGAGGACTTGCTTTCTCGGGGAGTCGTCTTCCTTTAAGAAGCCTTCCTAGGTGACTCACCAACATTCTGCCTACATCTGGTCAGCCTACATCTTAGTCACATGACCACACGGAACCGAGGGAAACTGGAATATGTTAACTTGATTGTGGTGATTATTTCAAAATGTATACGCATATCAAATCATCATGTTGTACACATACAATTATATATATACAATATTTGTCAATTATACCTCAATAAAGCTGGAAGAAAAAAATGGTAAAGGGCTTAGAGGCCGGGAAAACCTAATTATAGAAAATAGGAGGAAATAGATACGTATATAAATTGACCTTGAAAAGAAATCTGAATTTTTTCCTCAACCCCAAAAAACTTCCATTTGGAGGTACAGAACAATGCACATTAAAAATCTTTTTTTTTTCTACACCCAAGTGAAAATGAGACTGCCTATGTAGTGACTGCATGGGTTCAATTATGATTCTGTTCTCCTTTTCAGTTTCTGATGCTGTATTTGGCCCATATAGTTACGATGTGTCTTGCAATTTGATGTATTCTATCTTACATGGAAAACACTGACGTTGAAATGCAGAAGCCAAGACCCTGGGAAGGGCTAATGCAGTACTCGTTTGATTTTGTTGTCAAATATAACTAGTAGTAGTTTACCATTTTTAGGAGTATTAAAAAGTTTCTTCAAACCTTAGTTCAAACCAAAACAAAACATGAATTAGTAAAAAAAATTGTTGGAGTCTGTGCTGCCTCCTGAGACTGTTGGTTGGTGCAGATTCTGTAGAGATTAAAATTAAGAAGAGGGATGGCAACAAGAAACCCAGGCTGGGATGCCTCTACATCAGGTTGAAAAGTGCTCTTTTGAAACTCCTTGTCTGGAAACATGTAGGCGGGGATTTGTGTAAGGACGGCCTGAAAAGTGGTTCTCAGCGGTGATGTCCAGATACGTGTGATGAGTGTTCATGCCCCTTACAAAGCCTGCGACAGCCAACCCTCTGTCTTCCTCGCAGGTCAGAGGTCAGGTCAAGGCAGCCCCTTCAGGATGACCTTCCTGTCCCTGAGAAGCCCCCGAGCAGGTGCTTTTCCTTACCAAACGCAGCTCCAGAAGAGCCTCAGCTGAAAACGACGACACTGGCGAACGAGGAAGCGCTGCAGAAGATCTGTGCTCTTGAAAATGAACTTGCTGCTCTCAGAGCTCAGATTGCCAAAATCGTGACCCTACAGGAACAGCAAAATCTCACTGCAGGTCAGTAAGTCCTACATTTGTTTTAACCAGCAAACTGGAAATTAGGAGAATGCCGTTAATTTTTAAGATTTATTAGCAAATAATAGCCATTGGGGTTGTTAGAAAACCAGGGCTAAGTCCTCTTTGCATAGTCCAGTACAGGACCCAGTCAGGTTAAAGTGGGTTTTGTTTTGAACAATCTTGATGCTATCAGAGGGGGTGACAACTGAGTATATTTGGAAAACCCTGGAATTTGTACAGTTGAATTACTACTCATGTGACTGCTATGGGAAATTTAGTTGTCTGTGATAATGGCACCATTCATAGCAGACATGAGGTAATCTCAAAACAGCCCTGACAGGATTGAGTGCTGTTTACTTACCTGTGTGTCCTGAGGCAAGAACTTGGCCTTTCCACCTCCCTTTCCTGCTCTAAAATAGGGATAATAGTACTTATGTTATGGAGTTATTGTGGCAGTAACTGGAAATTATGTAAAGCCCCTTAGCACATAGTAGCCACTTAATAGTCATTTCTCCTCTTCTTGCCCAGAGTAGAAAGTGAGTCAGGTCCTCTTGCTCCTGGTCTAATACTGTCGCTTTTATTTGTCTGGCATTGTCACTTTGGAGTAGAAACCATCACCTTGAAATCCTAGTCCATTAACCCGTTGGCAAGTAGTGGTTGTTTTTCCTAGTGTTGTTCCCAAGTCCTGGCTAGACTCAGTGATAACCCACTCTGTCTGAAGAATAAGGACATGACTCTGCCTCTGAGCTACTTTGTGCTCCTGGAGTTTAATGTGATCCAACATGGAAAGCCCTTCCACCCTGGGTACAGCCAGATGGACAGAGGGCAAATGCACCCGGACACCGCGTGCTCGAGTAATCCGTGGTACTTAATGAAATTTGCATGTAACTTTTTAAAAACCAAAAGTCCTCCCCTGTTCTTAACTTTAAATCGTATTTCTCTTTTGCTTTACCTCCCTCTTCTGGCAGACTAGGAAAACTGCTGTATATAATGGGATAATTTGGGGATTTATGTTAGATGTTCTATTTATAGTCATAAATGCCATTAGTAAAACTTCTGCATTGAGTTCCCCGAATCAATATAGTTCACTCAATGAACAACTCTCTAACCTCCAATTATTCAGAAAGATGAATTTTTAGGTTCTTATTTTATAACCTCTTTAATTCTTACCTTAGTTACTTCTTGTTTTGGAAATTAAGTATAACATTTTTTTCTTCCAGAAATTTGTTCAATAATAAACCTAAAACTATTCTTTTGAACACATCCACGTCAATACAGGCTTTTAATGCTTAAGAAGTCTCATATGTAAATAAATTTAAAATGAAGCACAAATTTATCAAATATTTTTTCAAAAAGTTACTATAGTACTAAATTGTCAAACTGTGTATATATTGAAGATAGATTTATTTAAGCAGAACTGGCTGCTTTGTATTTCATCTAAAAGTAGTTACAAACTGTGCCACAGTCAGACCCGAACATTTGATATCACAAAAACACCCCTGTTAAGTTAAATGGAACCTTTCCATCTGGAGAGTTTGGGATTAAATGATAGAGTGACTGAGATTCAGGCATTTAGAGTCTAACCAAGTAACTGAAACCTCTTTTCCATTTACATAACTGAGATTTTTTTTTAAGGATATTGTTTTCAGGTATACAGGTAAGTCCTTAATACAGTTTTGCTTTTAAACATACTTTGCTATTACCATGAAGATTAAATTGATTTTTCCTTATTTCTGTAGGTGATTTAGATTCTGCCACATCTGTGACCACAGCACCACCCTCTGTCCCACCACCTCCCCCTCCGCCACCTCCCCCGCCCCTCCCCCCACCAGGGCTCCACCAAAGTGTGTCTGCTATTGAGCTGATTAGAGAGCGAAGAGAGAAGAAAGCCTGTGCTGGAAAGACAGTGGTTAAGAACAGTCCAAAGAAACCTGATATGCCAAATATGCTAGAGATCCTTAAAGATATGAACAGTGTAAAGCTTCGGTCGGTAAAAAGGTGAGATACATCTGCTTTCTTTCTCACTTCCCTCATCTTTTTATGTCTTGTAAAACAAAGTACCAGGCCTCTTGAGAACTTTGTTTTATAACATGACTACCATGAATAGTTGTCAGTTTTTAGTTTAAAAAAGATGGGCCCCTGTGGCTCCTACACACAGTTAATAAGAGAATGGCAAAATAAACATTTCCAGGTCACTCTTTAGTGTTTCCGCATTGCATTTACGGTCCTTTCATGTGATGTCGGTTGTTGTCCAGTCATTCATTCAGTAAAGCCGTGTCGCCTACCTACTGTGGTAGTCACCCGACCTGCAGAGGAGAATGGACCCGTAGTCGCCCTCAAGGAGAGCATGATCCTCTGCTCTTGAGATGAACTCAGAGGCTATTCATTGGGCCCCTTTGTGCTCTTTTGTTGAGCCTTAAACCTAGAGTTTCCATCTCACTGCCCTCAGTGTTTGCCAGTGTCTTTATGTAGCATCTGGGATGCCAGAGAAGTGCTCCCAGGGAGGGAGAGGCAGACAAAGCATGTCCCTGAGGGATGGCAGCATACTGAGGTGTCTCCTCGTTTCTCTTCACTTCTCTAAGGCCAGAACAAGATATAAAGCCCAAACCAGTAGATGCTGCTGACCCAGCTGCCCTCATAGCAGAGGCTCTGAAGAAGAAATTTGCTTATCGCTATCGGAGCGATAGCCAAGGTGAAGTTGAAAAAGGAATTCCGAAGTCTGAGTCAGAGGCCACCTCAGAAAGAGTATTGGTGAGTATTAGGTCAGACTCCTTTCCAGCCACAATGCGGGAGTTCACTCCATTGCTGAGCACCTGCGTTTTGCGAGACATTCAGCTGTGTCCTCTGCAATAGTCAGAAGGATGTACTACAGGATTGAGTCCCTACCTACAGGTCGACTACTTACAGAAGAGCCTGAAGAAGGATGCAGAAGTTCACCCTGGTTTCCTGCTTAGCACCTCCAATGTCAGATTTTCCATGCTGTTTTATTTATATTTAAGCATACTGAAATGAAATTCATTATAATGAAATTTATATCCTGGGACAATATATATTCAGAATACAGAAATTCAAAGTAAAGAAAGATAATTTTCTCTGAGGGCACCCTGTGAAAGTCTTCCCAGGGCAGGTGAGATGACCTGGGCCTCGTGGGGTATGGCAGTGTCGTAGGTGGAGACAGCACATTTCATGGAGGCTCGCAGAGGAACTTATGCATCCCCTTTATTCAGGTTACTGTCATAAGGATATGTGCTTGTCTGTTCCGGAGTGGCAGATATCTTAGAAATTCTAGCCTCTTTGAAACTCTTCAGACACTGAAAAACAAACTTTTGAGTTTCCTTCTATTACTCAAATAAGTAAAATTGGACTAAAGTAGGGTCTTGCTAAGATGATTGTACTTTTTTCTTCTAGGAAGTAATTTGGTTACCCCTTTGCCTTTCATTCTGTTGATATGTCATGTTTGTAACAAGCTGTCAATTCATAAGGGTTTTAATATTATCCAGCTGCTTGGTTTTTCATGCAGCACATACCCAGCCTTTTGGTCCATGACTGGGAGGGGGCGTATCATTACTGTTATATGAACCAATGTCTTTATACTTTTTGTTTCTCTTCTAGTTTGGGCCACACATGTTGAAGTCTACAGGAAAAATGAAGGCTTTAATTGAAAATGTTTCAACTTCCTAACAGACAATGAGCTGAGAAAGACTATCCTGGTTCAGCTGTTGGTTTGTTAGGGCTCTTTGGCTGGTAGAAATCAACACTATTTAGTAAATACCTGAATTTAGTATTCAGTGCTGCCTTTAAAATTGAATTAGAGGATTAAGCAATAACAGAAGCACTCAAAGTTGTGTTTGCTTTTATGAGAAGGTCGGTTCTTAAGTATTCCGTGGCATGTGGATATTCTGACAGAACATGTTTTTAATGTGTTGCCAGGATGTTAGGTTTCCAGGCTTGAAAAAATTACATAGACTTCAGAACAAAGAAAGGACATTTGTAGATGTGAGTTTTTAATTCTGAACACTAATTTATCTGTACAAGTGTTTTATATGCATACATTTGGATATAGAACAGTCTGTGTAAATGTAGTGATGACAGCACTGAGGGTACTGTCATCATCCTTCGTCCTCAGTGATCACTTACTATTCAACGATGGGACAGCTGGGACAACGCAAGTGGTTGGAGTGAAATATTTGAGATTAGAATCTTCTTGCCTTGAACAAAACTTCTATCTTAGATTCTCTCTCACATTTTCTTGGAGATGGGGTTTGAGTAGGAAGCGGATAATGTTCACTGCTGAAATCCCATGCTCCCCTTTAAAGGGCCACCCGGACCGGGAGAGCAGCCTCACCTCAGTGCCATCCAGTGCTGAGGAAGGAAGTATAGTTTTCAGATAGTGAGGAATCAAATTATTGAATTAAATCACTTTTTAAAGTAAAAGCCACAATGTCCCATCTTCTTTTTCTTTCATTTTAATAAATGGCATCATAAAGATGACTTGTTGCTAAGTCAGTACTTCTGGAAATGTCAGCATAATGGAGTTTTAAAATTTTTAATATTGGTCAAAGTAGTAGCTTTATAATGAAAAATTGAATAGGCAAAACGATTTCCAATAAGTTGTTTATCATTGGTCAGAATGCTGTTCTGTTGAATTATATTATGCAGCATAAACCTTAGCTGTTATTAGAAAGTGGACAACGGCCTTTCTCATCTAGGGCTTCTAAGGAATTGCTGTAAGTGATCATTTTTAAATGTTTGATAAATCTTCATGATTTTCTATATTTCTGTTAAACTCAGCTAGAGGTAATGCCAGAATCTCCTACCACAAGTAAATATTTGGATTATTTAAATCTAGTGAAAAAAATAGTTGTTTCTTCCTGGGGGGATTAGGAGATGGGGAAAGTAGATAGACACTCACTTTTAAGTTATTGGAAATGTGTGCAATGTTCTCAATGTTAGCAAGTATTAGTTGAGGTAATTTACATGGTTTGGTTATTCAGCTTAAATTTGAACGGTGGCTTATTTTACACATGTTGATGTACACTGTTTCTAAGTGTTTTGTATGGTTTAAAAATTCTGCCTTTAAAAGAAATTCAGAAAATCCACCTCACATGCATATTTTGACCTAAGAAATTTATATTTGTATCAGTATTAAATTTTGGCCAATGCTCCAATATAAGGAAGTTACTGTTTTGGAATAAAGCAAACTTTTATTTTCCTTGGACCATAATGCCTATATGTATGTTTTCTTTTTTTTTTTTTTTTTTTTACAATAGACAAGATTCCTTTGTGTTGCACATGTAGCTTCTTAAGAATAATTTGCTTTCTGCATTTTCTAAGTGGAAATATAGTCCTTAAAATAAACTGTACTGCTCGTATTCACCTTTCTCTTACAGGGATTTCAGCATTAAAAGAGAAGGGCGCTCACTGGGGGTGTTTCCTCAGGGTTCCAAGCCTATAATCCACCTCTGGGATGATGAAACCTGTTTTCCCATCTTCCTCACACCCATCTCCTTCAGTTCCTGGTTCTCCCACCCAACACAGTACCTGAAGTGAAAGATTTTGACAGTAAACTCTACGTTTTATAGCTGACGCTCAGAAAGGACGTAAGGGGTGTATGTTCTCTCTGCTGTGGTTCTGACTAGTCCCGGGGGCTCACTGTCCTAACACACAGAGGATGAGTCGGGAGCCCTGGACCTGGAGCTGGGTACTATCCCTGTATGTGATCCTGGCCAAGTCACATCTGTTTTTAAAATGGGACTAATGCTCGGCTCAAAAAATTGTTGAGGATTAGATGAAATAATGATTTTACACATATTCTATGAACAGTAGAGTGTAAGTAAGTTGTTACTTACATCATTTTACATGAGGTCACTGTAGTTTCCAGTAGACGGATTTCTCCTAGGATTCATGGTCTCTGGCATCTGGAGAAGGTGTCACCCAGTGCACCTACTTGCACAGGCTTGGGGGGGAGCGGTAGGACCTACAGTCTTTAGTTCTGCTCCACTCCCCAGTCACAGGCCCGTCGGTGGAAGAATCCCATCCTCTTGCTCTGTTAGGAATACCTGAGTCTGTGTCTCAGCGGTGACGAAGACGACAGGAAGTAACAACTGACAGGAAGTAATAACTACCAGAAAGAAATACCTTGGAGAAACTATCCTTCTGATAACTTCTCCAAAAGTAGAAATTCTCTCTGTGGGTTAGAATCTGGCAAATAGAAGTTTAAACTTTCAGGAGTTAACCCAATAAAGTCAGCTCTGAGACTGCCAGGCAGAATGAGACACTTGGCTTTATGACATTATCATTTTTATGCTTGTTATTGTCACAGTATTTCTCATCAGCCTTCAGCCATTCGAAATTCCTCTTTCCCCGTCTCATCCTAGAGATTCCACATTCTTCCGAGCTACCCCAGTGAACCTATTTCTTAAAATTCTTATTTTTCCTTGTAAACCTTGTAAGCTGGCTAGTCCCTCATTGGTACTTGTGTGGTTACTTAAGAACAGATAGGATAATAAAACCTACGTAACCAAGTAAGGATTCGGGAATCTTTTATCTTTCCCTCTGAGACTGTTGTCCTTAGTCCACTTCATATGGGCTAGAAACCTTAATGTTCCTACAGCTGGAGCCTCTCAAACTCTTCTCTCGTCGATTCTCCAGCCTCTTCTAAAGGTCACAGAGAGCTCCTTCCATAAGGTTAGTGTGGAACATGAGTGTAATTTAGACATTCTCAGAAAGGCAAATGATAACCCAAAGAGTGCCTTCCATTCCACACCAAACAGCTATGGCTATTATAGAGCAGTCCCTCATAATTGCTTTCTAACCTAGCTGGGAAAGCCTTAATTTGGGGATAAAGGCCAAACTCTTCATAACAGGATTTTTACCGGAGATAAAATTGCCTTCTCTTTATGTTGCCTAATGGCCATCGGTCTTCATTGGCCAGTCATGCTTTTCATCAAAGGGTGAAAAAGAATGAGAACCAGAGCATGGTTGGGAAGTCACTCTGTAATACTGGCGTAGCAACAAGGGTAGAGAAGAAGTACATAAGACGCTGACCCTGGGAGTCAGGTCACCCAGATTCTCCTTAACCCAACCCTAAGGCAAACTGCCCAGCACCTGAACCTCTGCCTTCCTTCTACAAGGGGGGACACCTGGTAATGCAGATTGGTCTGTGACCAAGGGGACAGCCTCGATAAGCTGGTCCAATCAATCAGATTCTCCCTCAGGAATTTGAATGGGAAACCTTGAGAGAGAGGCAGTTGGTACCCAGAGCTCAAATAAGGATGTCATGAGATACAATTGTATCCATGAGCAGTTAATACAAAACAGATTATGAGGAAATGAATTAGGCCATTGATTCAACATTTAACTGTGTGTCAATATATTATTTTTCTTTTAAGCGATGGACATTTTACAGGTTAGGAAGCCACTCAAAAGATGAGATAACTTGCCCAAGGACCCACAGCTAATATGTGACAAAAGACCCAAACCCAGGTCTGTCTAGCCGTAAAGCTTCTTTTAAAAACTCTACTACATTATACGGCCTTTCTAAGCAGACACTGCAAGGTAGAGACAGGAAGAGCAGCAGGAGTGTGGGAGAAGCAGATTCAGCAAGGTTCTGCTTTCTGCGGCCCTCACAGGGTTTGTCTCCATTGTCATGAACATGAACCCTCAGGATAAAGCCCCAGTTAACCCAAGGTAAACTGAGTGAGTCTCTGTTCCCTATGATGGAAAAAGCTGACCCCTATCTTGTGATGATTCTTAGATGGAAATTCAAAAGTTCTGTTTTCTGCCAATGTCCAGTAAGAACTTTAAACACACTCCTTTATGATACTTCCCTCAAAAAGTTTAGGTATAACGTTTAGAAATTTCAGCTAAGATAAAGGAACGTGGGATATTATGCAGTCTCCTGATTCTTTATAGGACATGGCTCAGCAGTAAACACCTCAGACTTATGCTCAAACACTCTCTCATAAAACGCCGAGCTTAAAGATAAATGTCGTAAGACAAGATGGAATTTCTTAACAAAGACTATTGACAGGGCCCGTGGAAAGTGGCAACAGACCAATAAGTCACTGCTTCAGTTTTAAATTACATCCAAAAAGAAATCTAATATTAAAAATGGGGATGTTTCTCTTTCCCCCGCCCCATTCTACCAGACTTCAACATAGGCTTCAGGGTGACTTAGAAAGTGTAGGTGTAAAAGTAAAAAAAGTTATTGTGATTGATAAAAGTTAGTATTTTTCTAAAAGTATCATAGTGAGCACATCTAAGGTTATTTTAGAATCAAATTTGAAAGCCAAGTGGATGTTAACAATAATGAAATTCCATAATTACTAGAAATGGTGTCATTTTTATCATTAACCAAACCAAACCATTCATTCTCCTAGACACCCCCCCACCGACACTTTGCATTCATTTTGTACTACACAAAACCTGCCATGTTAGATAACACTTTTCACACATCATTTTGTCACCCGAACATTTTGAGAACAGAGACCACGTTTTGCAATTTTTAATACCCTTTTATTACAGCCAGTGCTGTGCTCTGCACACAACAGGAACTCAGATATTGCTTACCACATGACTTCACCATAGACAGACTAGTTTCAATATAATTTCTCTTAATGATAAACTGATAACTAAAAAGGAAACACATTCATACCAAATTAGTTTGTTTGACAAACATTTATTGATGGCCCAATTTACGCTAGCTTTATGCTGAGCAGAGGAGACAAGATGGAGGAAACTGTGGTGTGCCATGCCCATCAGCTCACCCCCAGTAGTCGGCCTTCCACCTGCAGACCGTGGAGCCTCAGGGACCTTCCAAATGACACAGGTTGTCTCCAGATCCTTAGCAAGCAAGGAATGGCTCAGACTAAGTCTTACACATATCTGTCTGTACAACTATACGTTTCAAATGTATGCTGATGCTATGGTGATTAATATGCACATTTATTTAAAAACATTACCAAATGCATATTAACTATAGGTCATTGCAGACTTTTTCCCAAGCAAGAGGGGAATGCCCTCCTGATTGGGAGGGGATTTAAAGAAAATATTTATACATTAAAAAAAGTATACATGAAAACATTGTAAACCTGCGATGTGAAAGTTTTAAAGTTTTAAGAAAATTGAAAGCTTTAAGAGCCAAGAAAGCATTTTGGAAAAAGAGACCATTATAGGAATCTTCAAAGAATTACTAGCACCTCTAACCTGTACCTTGGGTACAAATATATTTTCCCAGCTTTGCAAAGGACATAAAATATTTACTTCTTTTATACAAAGAAGATCATTATAAACCATCACATTTACAGAGTACAAATATTGATGAGGAACCAGATTATTTGTTGTTAAGCTAAGGCTTGCCAAAATGTTCTCTCCAAGGACCTTAACCCCCAGAGCAGAGACGTCCCCCGCTACCGAAGTGCTGGGCGTAGAGCCCCCAAGGGCTGCCACATGCTCAACAATTCTTTGAAGTCTCCTGCTTTATCTTAAAATTTCTTGGGAATTTTGTGTTCTGTTCCATAATATTGAATTATTTATTTTAAATGTGATCTTCTAAATTACTGAACTGTTTGCTCAAATTTTTCTAGAAAATCAATGTTCAAGGAATATAGGTCATATTTAAGAAGCAGGGCTATAGACGGTCATTCCCACATATACATGACAAAACACAACTTTTCAATGGGTTTATTATATGTGTAGGTAGGAAATGGGAGCAACGCTCAAGTGTCTCCCCTTGAGAATGTGTAAATAAAAAGATAATCCTTTGCGTCTCAAACAATAGGAAACATGTAATGGATCAGAGCAGAAGTAAGCGATCATACACAGGCAGATGGAGCCCAGGCAGGCTCAGCTGAGACAAGGCTGAAGGTACTGACATATCTACTGGATGTGCCAATCAGCAGCTGATGTGGAGAAGAAACTACTGGCAGAGTCCAGGGGAAGAGAGAACCCTGGTCCACAAACATGAGTATCAGCAGGTATATCCCCATGGGGAGATGGATGCATGAGGCAACTTGCTTCCCTTGCTCAGAATCCATGCTCACCAAGTAACCGGCTGATCATAATTTGGCTTCCCAAGAAGATTTGCCTAAAGGGAAAGAATGATTGATAGTTATATTTCTCATTGTAAATTAAATGTTAACACTTAAAAACATCAGTTACTGTGAGCTTGGTTAATAAGAGTGCTATGAGAGAGTTCCACTCTCCATGTGCTGACATACCAGG